TCCGGTCACTGCATGTCGGTGAGTTCCTCTACCAGATACTAGAGCTGCAGGATCCGGTCACTGCATGACGATGAGTTCCTCTACCAGATACTAGAGCTGCAGGATCCGGTCACTGCATGTCGGTGAGTTCCTCTACCAGATACAAGAGCTGACGGATCTGGTCACTGCATGATGGTGAGTTCCTCTACCAGATGCTAGATCTGCAGGATCCGGTCACTGCATGTCGGTGAGATCCTCTACCAGATGCTAGAGCTGACGGATCCGGTCACTGCATGTCGGTGCGTTCTTCTACCAGTTACAAGAGCTGCAGGATCCGGTCACTGCATGTCGGTGAGTTTCTCTACAAGTTACAAGAGATGCAGGATCCGGCCACTGCATGTTGGTGAGTTCCTTTACCAGATACAAGAGCTGCAGGATCCGGTCACTTGCTGTCGGTGAGTTTCTCTACCAGATATAAGAGCTGACGGATCCGGTCACTTGCTGTCTGTGAGTTCCTCTACCAGATGCTGGAGCTGACGGATCCGGCCACTGCATGTTGGTGAGTTCCTCTACCAGATACAAGAGCTGCAGGATCCGGTCACTTGCTGTCGGTGAGTTTCTCTACAAGTTACAAAAGCTGCATGATCCGGTCACTGCATGTCGGCGAGTTCCTCTACCAGATACTAGAGCTGCATGATCCGGTCACTGCATGTCGGCGAGTTCCTCTACCAGATACTAGAGCTGCAGGATCCGGTCACTGCATGTTGGTGAGTTCCTCTACCAGATAGTAGAGCTGACGGATCCGGCCACTGCATGTTGGTGATTTCCTCTACCAGATACAAGAGCCTCAGGATCCGGTCACTTGCTGTCGGTGAGTTTCTCTACCAGATACTAGATCTGCAGGATCCGGTCACTGCATGTCGGTGAGTTCCTCTACCAGATACTAGAGCTGCAGGATCCGGTCACTGCATGTCGGTGAGTTCCTTTACCAGTTACAAGAGCTGCAGGATCCTGTCACTGCATGTCGGTGAGTTCCTCTACCAGTTACTTGAGCTGCAGGATCCGGTCACTGCATGTTGGTGAGTTCCTCTACCAGATGCTAGATCTGCAGGATCAGGTCACTGCATGTCGGTGAGTTCCTCTACCAGATACTAGAGCTGCAGGATCCGGTCACTGCATGTCGGTGAGTTCCTCTACCAGATACTAGAGCAGCAGGATCCGGTCACTGCATGTCGGTGAGTTTCTCTACCAGATACTCGAGATGCAGGATCCGGTCACTGCATGTCGGTGAGATCCTCTACCAGATACAAGAGCTGACGGATCCGGTCACTGCATGACGGTGAGTTCCTCTACCAGTTACAAGAGCTGCAGGATCTGGTCACTGCATGACGGTGAGTTCCTCTACCAGATACTAGAGCTGCAGGATCTGGTCACTGAATGTTGGTGAGTTCCTCTACCAGATACAAGAGCTGACGGATCCGGTCACTGCATGTCAGTGAGTTCCTCTACCAGATACTAGAGCTGCAGGATCCGGTCACTGCATGTCGGTGAGTTTCTCTACAAGTTACAAGAGCTGCAGGATCCGGCCACTGCATGTTGGTGAGTTCCTCTACCAGATACAAGAGCTGCAGGGTCCGGTCACTTGCTGTCGGTGAGTTTCTCTACCAGATGCTAGAGCTGCAGGATCCGGTCACTGCATGTCGGCGAGTTCCTCTACCAGATACTAGAGCTGCAGGATCCGGTCACTGCATGTCGGTGAGTTCCTCTACCAGATACTAGAGCTGCAGGATTCAGCATGACATGCAGCCACTGGCGGAGATTTCCACTTTTCACACTAGTTGCATCTGTGACTGATTCTGAAAGTTGGGTTTGTCGGGTTGTGAATCTGTTTGTGAAAGTTCATTTCAAAACTATAAATTTGTAAGCATGCTGGAAGTCGAGCCTGGGTCAGCTCTGCCATAGCGAACACAAGATCCATGACACTATCAAGTGCCAACTCGTACACTGTTGTAATTATAAGTGCCCTTGAAAGACGATGCCAATATGAGAAGTGTTGTATTTTGGACAGTACGTTTGAGTTGCAGTCGTCTGTGAAATGACCTTCTGATTTGTGTTATGAATGGGAATAATGCGATAACATTGATGAACAGCTAGTATGGGAGTATTGTCTGCGAGCATGTCGGCTAATTAATCATGTCTCATTTACCGCCAGGTGTACATAAGAAATCTACATGACATGGATGATGACTTGACAGCAATGCATGCAAGCTGTCACTCAAACACGGGCTAATAAATTCACCATGTCTTATGATTGATGAAAGGGTTTGATGTTTCCAGAACAACAACACGCATATCACATCGACTTGCAATGACTTTCGTGCAATTGATTTGGAGATTTTCTTGGACAATGTCATTGACAAAAAAACCATCAAACGTGGCGTCGAGCGAGAGTTGAAAGGATCCACGTTGTCGGTTCCGATCCCGACAATATGGACTTGTGGTAGCCGATCGGTGCTGTTTTCACGATGCTTTGATTGACAGTTGATACATCTCAGACCTGTTACACATGACCTGATAATCTTTGACGATTCTGAAATATATTTCTGGGTCATTTGGCAGCAAACCAGGCACACAGGGGAACGTAATTATCCCCCATTTGTGATTCATTTTAACAGCAGAGGATCGTTAGGATGTGAGTTTCGTTATTGTAATCAACATTCGTGTTATACAGAACGTGAAAGGGAAGTGCAGGGATTTTCCGACTTAACAAACACATCAAAGGTCGTTCATGGTTTACTTGGTTCAGTCATACGCAGGGTGACTTCGGGACCCCATGGGAGCCGTGCCGTTATATTACGACTCACAATTAACCGATTCATTATCGCCAATCAAGGCCTCACATGACTGATTTCCAATATCTTTATCATATATCGATTAGAGTCGTGGGGTGTCTGCTCCGTGGTATGAAACCTGTCGGAACTCTCAATTTGTACACTATAGACATGCCAGGAACATAGGACCGGCAGAGTATCCACAAACAAAACACATTCTCTGTGCTTAACGCCGTACAGTGACACCGCATACCTGAAGGCAGATACCTTTGTGGAGACATCCTTTCATCTTGGCCGACTTCTCAGTCAACAACTATAATAGAGCTCATGAAATATACTTCTTTCACTAAAGTAGTATTAAACACTCTTGGTATGTTTTCCTAAATATTGTAAGAATATTATTTGAAGGAATGCACTTGACATCGTCAGCCGAGTGTTCTGGCGTGTATGACAGCTGATGGCGATGACTAAACCGTCATGTCCTCCTTGTGGCCGGCCCCACAACTGCCCATGAAGTGTGCGAGGTATTTGGGCAGGGAGAGAATGGACAAAGTTAAGCATTTCTCCCACTGAATACAGGGAAGGCGTCAGTTGTTTGATGCTGACGGACGACTTGACAGCAAGTGACATGTGTTTTGTGGCAAATATATTTATGAAACATTCCCATGACATTGCGGTGGATAGTTTCGTGGGTCCTGCCCACAGGACTCGGGTTCAATATCAACATAGGTAGATGAGAACCAATAGATAACTGAAATAACTTACTGAACGTTTATGATTCCTGAATATGTGGAAATATTGTACTGTGAGTCAAGCTGCAGATAATATGAACACCTCTGACGGGAAATATAATCGTTTCGGTCTAAAACAGTATACAAGGAATATTTTATTACATATATATGCAAACAGCATTATATTAAACAGCATTTACAAATTCACTAAAACTCTACCACATTATGTGATTCTTGTTGATCGAATTCAAATATCAGACAATTCCCAAGTACTGATTCACCTACATTGTTCCAAAACTGTTGTTAATGTAGGAATTCCCTACATGTATGTCCCCTAGTCCATGAATGAACAAGTAATATCTTACTGTCAAGACGTCACTGGTCGTTGTGTTGAATCACATTCTAATATTGGTTACAGACTAAACTGGGCGCAAAGAATCATAAAACTTTAAACCATAAATTACTGATTGGAATACGCCGCTGGGGAATATTAGCCATAAGTGCAAATATATTGTCGAACCGTGTCAAAGTTATTCAGGTGACGATTCCATCTACACCTGTTAATATGTATATTTTTAATGAAGGTGAAATGTATTTGGAGCAAATATTGTAAATCTATAAAATGTGAAGTTCTAATCCAATCCAAAAATGTAACAATCCCACGAAATCAGAGGAACTTGTTATCGATTATTATGCCTGTGTGCTAATGACTGAGTATGTAAATGAGATATACACATGTGCTAGTGATATACGTGTATGTTTGACTCACAGACTGGGCTGATACTGTCTAAAACCGTTAACTGTCCATAATTGTATAGTTGCAAATCCAGAGCTCCACAATTCTATAAATTTCTTTTTCTGTTAAATTTATGTCTAATAGAGCCTACTTATTGTTTTGACGGTTTAAGTCCAATTAAAACAAATAGGCAGGGTTCACTCTTTATCACGCATCCTCTTTAATCTACATGTTATATATAATTAGCGTGAGAACAACGAACCTAATACTCGCGTCTGAGATACAATTCTAGTATACGTACTGTTATATTGTAAGATTATTTATCAATCAGTTCTGTACACCCATACCTTGTTCAGCAACATTTCACACTACTGTAGTGTTGAACTGAGATTAGGCGGATGTAGGAAAATGAGAACACACTTCGTTGACCGGAGAGAGAGCTCCACCCTACACCACTCCCTTAACCTCTTTTCCAGGCGACCTAACATTGTATATACATACGGAAGACACGCCGTTTTTTATGGCTTGTCGATTTCTTTCAAAATAGTTGCTATTCAGTGTCCTATCCCGACCCTATTGAACAGAATTATGCCATTTCATGAATATGACGAATATTATGGAGTGGTTGGCACCATGTGTTTAGCTTTTGTCTAAGTTACGGCCAGCATACCACGTCCTGGCAGTCTAACGTAGTGTCGTTACTGGGATTTTATGCTTTGGCTTCACGTGGCCACTGGCGCGTGAAAACTGTTGACGACAAGCAAAAATGCATCTAAAGAGTCGTTTAGGCGTACCAAGTCGTGGTGTACAGCAGGGCTTCCCGGGTGTGGTGAGCTGACGTTTCACGGTGACTGATCGGATATAGGCAGTGAGAGTGTTTATGGAGTGAAACATACATATGTGACATTTGCGTGACTGACACAGACATGCTAAGAACAACATGGTGAGTACATACGTCCAGTCTGTATTATACATTTCCCATGAAATAACTGCCAATGTTTATGTTTTTTTTCTATGTGTGCAGAGCATTTAATGGAACGTTATCCTTATTTACGATGTTATTCTCAGTATCCTACTGTTTAGGTGTGTATGCATGGAACCAGCATGAACGTTTAACTATGAATATATACACATTCAACCAACTCGTCTGTGCAAGTGACAGTGTTGTGTTAGTGTTGCCATTGTCGTGTTGTAAATATCACCTGTGATTTACGTGCAATATGATATCATTGTATTGAATATGCTTGTATTGATCGACGTCAGTCAGCGATCTACCAATACAGATAAACACTACCTCGTACAACGTTACTTAACTAGCGCGGGGTGTTGCCACCGTCCCTTGTTCAGTTCAGAATGGCTAACTGTCATATTCCGCAATGCATATCAACATTTTGTCAGCAGTCTATGGAAAATCGAAACTCCAACTCAAAGTTTGACAGGGAAACAATGCAAACATTTTTCTTCTTTTGAATGCCTCAATACAAAAATAGATCGTCCAAAACAGTACTTGATAAACGTATTGGTGATATTTCTAGCACTGTATAGAGGCCGACTCGTAGGAAGGCCGTTGAGCGTGACAATTATTTTCCTCACTGTGATTTATGGTGCATAATTGATTCGTTGCGCCAATACATCTTTATTTCAGGCTGTAACTCTCAAGTACATAACTGTCATTAATATCTGTTAGGGCTGAATATTGATTAAATTATAAATAATAGAAAATCTTGCTTGATTACTCAGATTAAAACATGAACATTCTTTCAATCTTGACATTATTTTCTCTTGAAACAATTTTTCAATACTACCATCTTCGGTCCTTAGATAAGTCCAGTGTATCACCAGTGAATCGTGACGGTATTAAGGATAAATACATTGTGTCTCAGACGTTGTAATACTACTCGCTATGGAACACGACAAAACGTATCAATTTCTTTTCCGATGAAATCGACAAATTTTGCGATGCATATCAGAGTGTACAATGCTTGCCGAATAGCTGTTTGTCACTGGCTACTCGTGGTTAGTGCAGTCAGTAATGATAACGGGAACTAGCACGTGTCCCATTGTGACAAGTGTCAATGAAATGTACAAGACATTGTGTCAATTTCAGTTATCATATATTGGTGGATACACTGTTATTAGCTTTCTCCTACACCAAAGAATACAATTAATTTGAAGCTTGGCTGATATTACCACGGTAACAAAAGGCCGAGTCGATACAATTCACGAAAATATGTCTGTCTCTTTTCCAAAACTAACAAATCGTTGCGAGAATGTGTCAAACAGATTGGTTTTCTGTCACTAGTCTTTCAGCATACAGTACATATAGCGAACACCGTCCTCTCACTCTCCATATATGTCACCCACACAGACTGTCTCCGAAATCACTCTGGAAAATGATACAGCATTTTATTTCAAATCTGTTTACAAAGAAGATGAAATCATGTGTATTTATTTACAAAATGGACACATAATGCCTCATCGCCGGTTTCACTACACTGACAAAACCCGCACTCGACGAGGCGGGAGCGTATCTTCAAGAACTATATGAGTCATCTACCTCACTCGGGTGATTTTAAAGCTGTATATATTTGTACAAAATGTCTTGAACGTGCCTCGTCTTCCTATTCAAAGTGATGACAAAAAATAAATGCTATAAAGCTGTTCTCCACGCTATCAAAATATGAGTAATTTTGTTGCTATATATGAATAAATCTAAAGAATTATGAATTCCAGTGGCGGTAGTCATCACGTAGAGATCAAGCTGATTATAGGCTTGGAGTTATTCGTCCCGAGGCTTCACAAGCTTTGTCCTCGTCATTGAAACCTACAAGCTTGTCAATTTCTTGTGCGTGTTCATAGCCACCCTCGCGTGTCGGGGCTTCGGGTACAGCTTGTGTCTCGCTGCACATTAGCGGTTGACATATGCACTTTGAAAAATGTATTTTTGTAGTAGATGAATTAAAAATAATTGCACTAGTCGTTTTATAGTATAACATTCCCAGTTTAGATGTTATTAATTTGGCTTTAAGAGTAAGTAGTATCAGTTGAGTCGACCGTCTTTACCGTATTGTACCACATATTACGTGATAGGAATATATTTTGTATAGAGTGGCTTATTAAAATATTCATAATACTATGGTCTGACATACATATGAGTAACAAGAGGGACATGTTATCGGTCCAGTGACTTCGGCCACCAAGGCTGTAATTAACATTTAGTAAATAGGGACGCGTCGCTGCGTTGTTCGCAGCCATATTCTCACAAATATATTCATGGAGTAATAGTAAAATAGTTTTCATCACAAGCGTTGATTACATGGAGTATGGCGAGAGAGGGACAAAGGTTTGGGATACTTGCTATCATATATTTACCACTATTAACTCTGTAGTTGGTAAAGCCAAGTTGTTGAGTTGTATCGCCGAAGTTTGTCATGTACATATCATGCCTGCCAATCAAACTGAGTGCTAAACATCATGCATTTCGTGCACGACCGTTTGTGTAAATATCGATTAACCATTATCATAAATGGTAATTCCGGCTTTTTACGGTGAGCAAGTACTTTTGTATCAAGAAATGTTTGCTCAAAATAACTTTAACTTCGTTGTAATTAAGAACATTGAGGTGCTCTTGGTTTCCACCCTTTCAGCAGTAATCATTGATCCGTTGCTCTGTCAGAGGATTGTCATCAGTGTCGCTGTTTGACTTCTGCGATTATGAAATAATCCTGGTCGCGTCAAAGTTCATTGGATTATCAATTTGTTACCTCAGTAACCAAGTCGATAATCAACTGCCTGATTTCACTGATTTTGAATCAAATAGAATTAATTGAAAACAGACAGACGTATTCGGAAATGTCTCGTCTAGGATTACAATCTGTAAACCAATCTATTTGTAGACTGGGGAATTACGACGACAACGGCAAATCCTATTTCTGTCTGCTGGGGGAATTAATCTTTCAGCGATGGCCGAAAACGGTTCCCGATCAGTGAGTTTGGTCGGTTGATTAATTTCAGTATTTTACCCGTAATCTGGCAATGCACAGACTTATTACCCAAACCAACAGAGAGTAGGTTCGTTAACCCCGTGTACTTAGTTGTGTCCACATCGCGATGAGGATTAGGATTAAGTGATTACTCTCAAGTAAGCCTGAAAAACCTTCCTGCGTTGCAGGAGTCGAATATGGCACCGGGGTTTGACAGACGATTTTTTCCGCGGAGAACTATGTAAGCGGATGAATGTCATCAGTGTGTCAAAATACATTCCATACTAGTAGAAACGTGTCAACAGTTAAGTAACAGAAAACAGGAATTTCGTAGTGACCTAGATGCGATAATGGTTAATGATCAGCAAGAAAATATACCATGCAAACAATTCTTACAACTATTTATTCAGACTATTCATATTTATGCTTATAGTTATTTACTGTCTGTTTAAACGTCATTCTTTTTTCTTTTTCTTACCTTGAAGATCCGGGTTAGAATTGATCTTATTTTTTATACTTAAACGTCATTCACAGTGACTATCTGCCGATAAAGATCGTGGAATTTCATCTCAGGAGTGACGTCATTAGCGGTAATTCCCCAAGGAAACACAAATGCCTTGTGGGTATCATCTCCTTTCAAGTCAAGGAAATAAATGTTATCTGGTGGAAATACATCTCACAACGTCGCATTATCTCCCAATCCCGCTCCGTAGAAAAAGAAAGCTAAATGACTAGTATGTTAAATTCAAAACCGTAATGATCCCATTTATTGATAACTGAAATATGCCAGGATAACACGGACTACATTATGTAGTTTTACAGTTATGATCTATTTCCTTGCTGTTTACACAACAAACCATTGTCAAGAGAGGTGGGCAGCTTGATGTTGTTTTCATGCACAGTGGAATATACTTTGAGGTCACACCCCTGTTCTTTCACGTTCAGAAAGCTGTAAACTGGGGATATACATGGTCATTATTTATATCTGTTAAATAATACACTTACATTTTGAATTTGTTGAATATTGATTTAAGAAACAACACCAAGAAAATGTTAAGATTACCAATGGGGTCCATCTTCAACTAGATAACCTTAATTCACCGTAATTCTTCAAGGGAACGGTTTCGAGTTATCTGTATGAAACAATATTGGCTTCAAGTTAGCTATGTCTTTATTGGAATCTGACTGGATACAAAGAAGAACAGGTAAATGTATTGTGAATATTATATTACATTTTGATAGTATAAACTTTATACCATACTTTAAGTACTAGCATTTTCTAAAAAATGAATTGCTTGGTCTGAAATTGGTGTTTGTGAAGATGATATTTGACCCTATTTTCCATTCACCGTACTGTGTTGTCTTCTGTCGACGGTAAGTGGTCACACGTGGGGAGATGACTCGTGGTCACACGTCCATGTGGCAGCAGCTGGACTGTTGGTCCAGCACTGACCGTCACAACCATCGATCACATCGTGCATCTGTAGCACTCTCTGTACAGTGTACACCCTATCTGTGTTCTGATCACTGTACAGGAGACAGTTACTTGGTGATAGTTCCACACAACTCTCTGTACAGTGTACACCCTCTCTGTGTTCTGATCACTGTACAGGAGACAGGTACTTGGTGATAGTTCCACACAACTCTCTGTACAGTGTACACCCTCTCTGTGTTCTGATCACTGTACAGGAGACAGGTACTTGGTGATAGTTCCACACAACTCTCTGTACAGTGTACACCCTCTCTGTGTTCTGATCACTGTACAGAAGACGACATGCTTTAGTAGATGTTTAAATGACTACACTACTCTGTACAGTGTATACACCCTACTTGTCTTCTGATCACTGTACAGTAGTAAATTCACAACGGGCCGAGATCTTACTGGTAACGTAATCATTATCCTGTGAGGCACGGCCATGCTTTCATTCCTAATCAGTACACCAAACACTCCGTTATAGCA